TGAAATGTTCTAGATTAATAAATAATATATATAATAATATAATACAGAGTACACTCGATAGTGTGAACAAATTAAACTTCCGTTTATAGGTCGATTGGCTTTAAAAATCTAATTGATTTGCTGTTACACCATTGCCGCAAACAATCGGTATAATACATTTTTGATAGCTACATAGTTCGTTGTTTAAAAATAATTTATATTAAAGTGCATGTATTAAGAAAATGTTGGAAATACATCGAATAATACTTTTCTGTCACATGAAACTATGTAAAATATGAATGTATATCTACAGAAAGTCGATCCATTATTTCACAAATTGATTTTATTGATTAGTGCAAATACAATTGTATTTCCTGTATAAGACATGATCTAAAATACGTAATAACAGGTACATCGAACATGTTATTTAGTACCATGCATAATTACTTCAATTTCAATTATTAATCAGTTTATCCTTGAAAATTGTAATGACCAGATTGATGACCTGTCATTTTTTACACGATTGGAAAACTTTTATGGTGAATGAATGGTATTTTCTATACACTTGAATGCTAAATCTGCTAGAATTTTTGTTTTATATTGCTATAGTGTAATATTGCTGGCAAAATATTTTTTTTTCAACTCATCAGAAAGTAGGTTTCATATTACAAAAAGGAAAAGGCATATATTTATAAATAAGCACATATGTACTACATTTTTTTAATTATTTCAGCTGCAGTTATGATAATACATAAAAATTGAGGAATTACTTTATGACTATAAGTAAATTAAAAAAACATTTTTCAATGCAGGGGTTTTAAAAATACAATTTTTAGAGTGAAAAGAGAAACCTTTGTGGTTAAATGGAAATTAAAATAAAACGAGAAGCATACATGTAGCACGGTTTATGAACAGCATCCTTAAGGAATATTAGTTTAAGTGGTCCAATTTTTTAAAAATAGTATTTTATCAGGAACGAAAAAGTTATAATGATAAGCTGCAGAAGATTTATTACGTGATAACTTTAAAATTAACAATCAAACGCATAAATTGTTGAAAAGTGTAATTTTACTGCTTTCTATGTCCTTATCAGTATCCGCTTCCGCCTTTTTATTTTATTTTAGATTATGGGACGCACACCATCGTTGACCAATAGTTTCATTATTTTTAGTTGTTTAATCTTTTACCTGGTCTGTTTGAGTTTTCAGTGTTTCTTTTAGTGACCCAGGTAAGCCTATATGCGCAGGTGTACTGAACCAAGTATTACTTCACGGTCTCAACAGGCCGACGAGGTAGTTTGCGAGTCGCGCACCACATGAGAGTAGAAGCACGTCTCCAAACAATTCGCGATAAAAGATATAAGTGGTTACAGAGACAAACAGGTGGTGATATTTACGTGTGAAAATTACGCGGTACCAACCCTTCGCTTAAATAACTTTGGGAAAGCTCGAGCGAGCAGGCGTGTGTGAGTGTGTGTTTTATACGGACGATGAAAGCTAGTAACTGGAAAGTTTAGCGGTTTTGGATAGTTTAGAAACAGGTAGGATCTCTGCTGTTCTCTTATTACTGCTTTACAACGAACTTCCTGTGTGTATTCAATCTAACGTTAAAATTTCTGGTTAATACTTATATAATTAAATTCTTTTAACGGCACTTATTTATGCACTGTTCTGTTTATTTGTTTCCCATTTTCAAAAAATTTCAATGTATCTTTCATCCTTAAATAATTTATTGTGTGTAAAAAATTACCATCTTCGATACACTTTTTTTGATATGATTTAATTATAATGTGTGCCAAATAAATAGATATTTACTGAGTATTCTAAAAAGTTATTCATTATTAAAAGTATTAGATTTGTAATAATATTTATACTACACATTGCAATCGTGAAAGAATGAGTATTTTTTAACAATTACACAATTTGGCTGCATCGAAACACTCTTACTTATGTTAGCAGTTGGAAAACCGTAATATTTTCAATTCTAATATTTTTTATTTTAGCAATTTTCATCATTCGCACACTTTTAACAACACAGGTATTCATTACTTTCTTTTTTATGTAACTCAGACGAATATATAAATAATATACTACAAAAGTATATAATTTGTTGCTTTGTCGATATTTACAGTGCGTCCCGAAATCAGATTAGAAAACAAATACAATAATAGGGTTCTGCAATTTATTTAAAAAAAAATATGTGTAAAATCATTTAGATTGAAAAACCCTAAATTAAAAATCTACATTTTTTCGTGTTCTGAAGGCGATTTAAGTTAAAAAGTCAAAAGTAATTATTGAATTATTAGAGTGGTTGATACTTTTCCTTTTTTCTTTCTAAAATCGCGAATGTTACTTTAAGTTGTAGTGTAACTAATTTCCGCATGTCCCCGCGAAAATCTTTCTGCGCTTCTTCTAAAAAAATTACTATCAATAAAATGGTATAAAATTACCTTATTACTTATTATAAAAGGGACGAATTTACGTTGATGGTATCATAGGAGTGGGATTTTCTGTTTTATTGTGATCTTATCCAGAGTTTTATTAATTTTTATTGTAACGGTATATATTTTACATAATCTACCGTTTATTTGGAGAAGATCCAAGTTATTACAACTTATAGGTAATAACTACGTACCGGATGTGTTTTAGTAATGACTAAAAAAAATTTCGATTTGCAATAATGTATTAATTACTAAGTTATTATAATAAGGAGAGCGTGTCAATTGGAATTTTAATTTGCATTAGGATTACTCATAATGAAAAGAATTTACGTTGATTACTGTATGAATGAGGCTAATATTTTGTTTTATTGTTTTTATTCATTGTTATTATAACGGTGTTTTACATAATCTGTCGTTTAATACTGGAAGATCCAACTTATGTGCTGTATAATTAGGAATTAAAAGCAGGTTTTGACTAACTACATACATATTTAATACACTCAAACAGTTGTAGGTATGCATATCAATCGAAGAAAATTATTTGGAGCAATCGCTTAATAAAGTAGTTTTCTGTTTCTTTAAATGTCGATAGTTTAATTTAAATTTTAAAAAAGGTAATTATCAATATTTAAAGTAAATACTGTATAAATACGTAGATTCTATTGTATTTTATTCACTAGAAAAATATTTTGGAGTAAATAACTCCCTTATTGAAGTATTTATTAAAGAAGTGATCTTTCTAATTTTATGGAATGTAATTTATTTGTGACTGTAATATAATATTTATTTTTGTATTTTATTCATTTATGTAAATGGTAATTAAGTGAATGATGGTCAGTTTTATTACATATCTTCGCCCACTCCTGACATGTTTTTTATTACACCTATTTTGTAAATTAACTATGGACTTTCACTTATTATGCATTATTAATTCAAATATTGCTTCAGATCTGTTATTACTTCTATTTTAAAACAGGAAACCTCCATTTCTCATTAAAAAACTAGAGTAGACAGTGGGTATTTTAATAACTTCTTTTTAATTACTGGAAATATCTAGTAACCATAAAACAAAACACATATTGAACATATTTGGATTCTTGTTGTCTTTTTTGTCGTACAACATACCTATAACATACAACTTTAAAAGAGTATAAGTGCCTACTTACTCATTGATATTTTAATTAGATGGTTGTTACATAGTCCACTTACACATAAATCCAAATGTACATATATTTGTATAAGAAATGATCTCACGCGATTTTGTTTTGTACTAGAATCATTTTGACCATTCTAGGTATCTACGTAATTACATTTAGTACTAACTAAATAAGAGAAAGTTTGATCTGTCGTCATCACACGTTATTTTTGATTTATAATTAGGTATCACAATTAAAATTTTTCGCGTCCTACAACGAGGTGCTAGAAATAATCAATTCATCACTGATTGTAAAGTGGTGCTCAAAAATATTTACATAAAATTTTGTCCTGCTATTTGGTAAATTTCAGCTAATATGTGGTTTTATTTCGTAATTTATCTGAATTTTTAAAGAGAAAAATTACTGCAACAAAAACCCCCTAAATATTATAACAATAAATAATAGTTTAATTACTACGTAAACAAGGTATTTCCCTGGTGATTATCATTAGATTAATGATCCAACATAATAATTCTTATACGAGATGAAATTTGCTGAATTTTCAGCTGATCAATGGAGAACCCGGTAAAAGAATAAATGCAAGATATTAACGCATTTTTGTTTTGCGACGTTTCGTTGGCTTTCTTTGGTAATCTCTTCAGGTTATACAACACATTTCAGAACATGGACGAGATTTCGTTTAACATATCTTCATAGTCATTCTTATTTAAATATTTCTTTTACATATGTATAACTGCCTTAATGGTTGGTGAAACGGGAACAAATAAGTAATTAAAGTGAAGTTATCTTTTTTCTTGAGAAAAGACATGTGATCACATAAAATAAAATCCATTTCTCATTAAGCATGAAGATTAGTAGGAATTAAAAAATATACGATATGGTAATAATGTTTTATACGCCACCTTTTTTTAATTCAATATTACAAGAAATAACCGATGAGAATTATTAAATTAAGCAAGTATTCATTTATTATTACTAATTTCTTTTAAATATTGTGCCATAAAAAATTAGTAAAAAACGTTTGATACGTAAAAGCCTAACACAAAACTAAAACCAAGACTGCTTTTGCTCATCATTATAAAAGTTACGCAAAAAATGTACGAACATAATTCTCCCATGAATTCTAGAAACTCTTCTCTTAAAAGTTGTTTGCTGAATAATTTCTCGAAAGAAATGCTCAACAATAAAAAAAATGCATAATTAACATAGACTTTTCGCTTGTCATTCGTTAACCACAAGAATAAACGTCATTAAAATTAACGAAACTAGCAAACATTTTAAAGAGTTACTAGACCTGTGAGAGCAATAAATATGGGTAATTACATCAGACTTTACAAAAATAAATAATTAACGTAATAATCTCTGAAAAAGTATTTGCTTTCTGGAAAAATCCAAAACTTTTGTCGATTTATTCTTCAATAAAAGAAATTAATGAATGTTGGGAATAGATAAGTGGTATTTAAAAAAGATGTCTAGAGGAAAATCCAATTTAAACTTAAGGAATTTATTTATCTTCTCCATGCCTATTACGTTACTGACGATTTGAAATTTCCAAGACAACTTGAATTAGTTATGAAAGGTTGCTTCAAGGTATTGTATTATTAAGAGAAACAAAATGACAACAATCTTTTCAAGGAAATTTAACCAGAAATAAGATGCAATTTATAATTTAATTATTATAAAAAGAACTTATGTATTGCTACGATTAATAATGCGTTTATCTTACTTACATATACCTCTTAGACTAATTACGAATCCAAAATTTCAGCATGACGTACTTTTTGATTTCTTACAGTGTAAATTACAACCTTTATATTACGAGGATTATTTGTGGAGAATCTTTATTTTACCTTCATAAAATTCAATTCAAATTCAATTATTTTTGCAATTAATCGTACATTTTCCTATCATCATCATCATCATAAGGTCATTAGTCCTAAGATNAATAAAAATGTAATTTTGATTACGAAGTGCATGAGTGTATCGGTTAAGAACCTCTTACCTTGGTATATCAGGCTTCATTCTCAACCCTCAAATGAAATCGGAGACCAAAGCAAGCCATCATCTTTCGGTCTATTAAATGGAATAAAACAAATTCAGGTAAATTAAAATACAAAAATTGAATCGAATAAGCGTTTTATTCCTGTAATTCCATTTCTTTTTAATTTAAATATATGCCATTGTATGCAAAGAAACTCCCGATTGTTTTTGAGGTCGTAACTTCTTGGCACTAATTCATAATCTCGAATGTATAAAATATAACATTAGTCTTTAGAAACAGGATAACTGATAGCGCAATATTCTGGAAGTAACTGATGAGTAACATTTTTAAATATCCAGGATGTATCGTTCAATGAGAATTTTAATTATAAATCATCCTTATTCGAGATATAGAAAACAATTGGAAAAAAATGAGTAGGTCTAAATGTCTATACTGGAGTGTACAGTTGGCTGCATACTACATACATAAGTTAATAAATTTTAAGTACTACGATACTCCTAAGGGTTTCGGTTAAGTTATGGTGGGAATTGCTTTAAGCATTAAAATAGTTTTAAGTTTTTGACGAAGAGAAAATTGAATACATTGCATTATTTTTCATGAAGTCCAATCATGAAAAAGTAATAGCTGTATTTTGCACATTCAGGAAGAAATGCAATATAAAGCTGCAGAAAATTTTATTGAGTTGGCAGTACACGTGTTAAACAAAAAAATTGCATACCTAGAATATAATAATTAAAACTGAAATATTTTTACTTGATATCTGTAGAACCAGGAATTTGGACTGTGGCCATCAACTAGAATAATCGTACACTGAAAGTTATCTGCAAATAAATAGGTACTTAATTAATTAATTAATTCAGTTCTCTGTTGTATTTTGGATAATATCGTTCGCATGTATTGTATCCTGGAAATTTTCCCTTATTATTGTTACCACACGCTTG